AATGCTACTAAATAGATCTGCTTACTGGGCAGAGACAGCAATTTTCAGCAAGATCAATGGACATTTCCCCTTTTTTTTTCCTTTGAAGGGCAATTAACAGTATGCCCTGTTATTTCCAACCTTTAACATTAATTTTTTCAGGGGTAAGGAAAACTGTTCTCTGGCTTTGAAGAGGCTTAAGACTAACTGGTAAACAGTAAACTCTGCCTCTGAAGGCCTGATGTTCTCGGTTCCAGTTACTGTGTAAGCCCAGCAACAATGGTCACACTGCACACTGGCACGGCACACACTCCATAAACAGAACAGATTACTCTGCTGGGGTGAGTATGTACCCCGAGGCCAGACCAGAGACTGGAGGGAGCTTCGGGGTGACTGTTTTCAAGTGAAGCAACTATTTTAACTTTTTGATATAAAATCCTTCATAGCTATTTAGGCAAAGCCTCTTTCTCATTTTAAACTTTTAACATATTTAAAAAGAACAGCCTGATTTGAAGAGAAAGTCACTAGTCTGTATAGTTCCTGCTAAAATAATCAGCAAGCAATGATTTCAAAGGGTACTGGAACACATATGAATGCCTAGTTTTTTATTGTGCTTTAAAATGTTGAATTTGCCTTTCATCTAAAATGTGATTTAGGGCTGGGCATGATGGTGCATGACTGTAATCCCAGCACTCGGGGGGTCTGAGGCAGAAGGATCACTGAGAGCTGCCTAGGCTGCAGAGTGAGTTCAAGGCCAGTCTGGACTACATAGCAAGACTCTGTCTCAAAAAACAAAACAAACACACACAGAATAAAAGGTGATGTAGGGCTAACACTCCTGAGAATCTGTATATTCTAAGTTTGAAACCTCACCTGGATAATGGGGGGCACTTGCTTTGTGGCTGCTCTCTATATGCTCAGGGTTATGATGCAGAGCTCCCTTTCCCAACCTCCCGCCCAAAGCTGAATCACAGTGTTACAAACTTACTGGCCAAGAAGACTGCAAATGAACAAACAGTAGGCTACCCAAAGAGGACACACACCCTCAGGAGAGGGTGCAGAGAACCCAAGAGGCCAGAACTGACAGGCAGGGGGGAGGCGACGTCAAGCCCTCTTCTCTGCCCCCCAGGGAGTCACCAATGCCTCCTGCACCCACTCCACTTGCTTCTGGCCAGGCCCGGCAACTCTGCACTAGGACCCTCCCTTACCATGTTCTGAGTCTAAAGTACTAGGTTTATAGCAGCCAAAGGATATTTAGTCACACTTTCAACTTGAGCACCAAAAGGGCAGCTGGATAATTTTACCATACAACCAGGGTTTCTGCTGACATGTGTATCCTGTGTGCAACCGTCACCTGAACTTTTTCCCTACTACTCTTTAAATCTCTACCCATAAGCTATGATTTATTTTCTAGGTAACTAAGTTAATATTCAAACCCAAAACTGCAGTGAAAGGCTCCTAAGGCCCCCTCCCCCGTCCTTTATAAACTTAAGAAAACAGTTTCTCATATTTCTAAACAGTTAACGTGTGTACCTTTGGTGAGCTACTCAGTGGTGGGTGGCAGGCCTAGCTGAGGACTTAAGCCAAGTCACTGGCTAAAACACCCAATAAGAATAAAAGGGACAAAATCCTATTTCATCCAGGAATGATTCAGCAAGAGCTGTTCTTTCGTTTTCCTACCAAATGCTTAGGAATTCGATTTTAAGGACATAAAAAAATCACCTGAAATATCATCAAATCCTAAGCCCTACAGGGGGAAGAAATTAACAATGACCTTAACAATTAGCTGCCGACACACGCGCTTCCTGGTAAAGTTAACCAATTATCAGCAGGGCTTTAGTCACCACTCCACCCACATTTTAATCCTCATGTGGAAAAATCCCAACATTTCAGCATGAAATATTCTGAACATTTGGACTATCACAATAAGTAACCAGAATGGATGGACATGGACACACACACACACACAACCCAGTGTTCGATGTACCAGAATACACAGAATACTAAGTATTATGACAGGGAGCATATTATCTTATGTTAACCACAATCTTGTGTCTGCCAATCAGCAGACATTCTACTAGGATTCCTGAAGACATCTGGGTTGACCCTCCACTAACTACTCAAAATGTGTCACTTCTGTGGTTGTGTGGGGTTATGAGACATCTACATATATGTACATTAGTTACTCAAAACCTGTCTTGTCTACGAATTCAATGTCACAATTATCTGAAGAATAACTTAAGAGCTCTGCTGTAAGATAATGGTTAAGGAATAAATGCAGGTTTAGGCTTGAGGGACCACGGGCCATTCAAAGTCTATTCTGTCACTATTCTGTCATTTGACCTTGAGCAAGTCACCTCACCTTCACAGGCCTTCGTATGTATGCATCTATGATTTCTAAAAAGAACGAGCTTTAAAAGAACTGCTTACAGGAATGGCCTAGGGTTTGATGGCGTGGTACAAACACATGCCACTCACTAAACTAACCCAGGACCCACGGTGGAGAACAAGGAGGTTACCTGGCCTGGTACAGCCCTCCCCTTTGAAAAGTGACACATGCTGTGCATTGCTACTAGCTCCTATTCTCCCTACCCGGCCCAAGCCTTTCCAATTACTGCCTTTAAAATCCACAGTACCCAAAGCTCGAGCCCTCCCTCTGCCCTCACGACTGTTCACAGCCAGGCAGGGACCTGAAGACTTGCAGAGAAAATAGTGGATTCTCTCTCACTTGTATTCTCCTGGTCTGGTGCTTCTTAATCCCATGAATTGGTACTTTTCAGGTCATCCTGGGTATACATATGTATATATATATATTTCTCCCCCAAATGGACTTGGACTCCGGGAATCACTTAAGTGGATATATCGGGGCGTCACAGTATCAGGGTGAACACGGCCTAGTGAGCGCTCCACGCCTGCGCCATTCACTCTTCTGGCCCTAGATCCCTCGTTTCCTTCGGGGGCCACTTCTGAGTGAGTCGGTGGTGCTGGAAACCGGCAAGGCAAGGCCTTCCGACCCACAGCCTCCGGTCCTTTGCCAAGGCTCACGGTACCCAGAGGCCCTGGTGGGTCAGCCTGGGTTTCTTCAAGGCCGGTCCTCCCAATAAACCTGTACACCTCCCCACGGCGAGACGGCCCCAGATACCGGGTGCATCCCGCCGCCGAGAGCGGCCATGACCGCTCCCAGAAGTATACCTTCAAGGCCTCCTATCTTAGGGCGGTAAGGACACACCCTTTCTGGCACCGGCCCGCCCGCCGGGCTACGCGGTAAGGGGAAGCCAGTTTTTATTTTCTTTTTTCCTTTGGGGGAGGGCGGCCGCCTCGGCGGGGAGCTGGCTAAGCCCCAGCGCCTCCAGGAGAAGAAGCCTCGACTCGGAGGCTGCCCCGCCGGCGCCGGGCCTGGGCGGGAGCGGCGGCCCGGGAGGGGGCCCGGCGGAGCGCCCCGGGGGAAGGGGAGGAGCGCTCGTCCTCTGGGAACAGAGGGCGGAGGGAAGGAGGAAGGGGAGCCGCGAGGTGAGGGCGAGCGGAGGGGAAGGCGACCGGCCCGGGGATGCGGCCGGCCCGCTCCGCCCCGGGGCCGCCAGCGACCTCCCGCCCGGCCCGGCGCCCCGCGGCTCCCGAGCGGCGCCCCCGGAGCCCGCGGCCGCGAGCCCTCCCCCGTTACCGCGCTCCCTCCATTTCCCAAGTGCGTCGCCTTCTAACCCGCACCGCGCAGCGCCGCGCCGCTTCCTCCTAGCGGCTGCCGCCGGACGCGGGCGCCCTCTGACTTCCCCTCTGCCCCCGGAGCCCCGCGCACTCACCCCCTTCCCCATGGCGGCGGTGCTGCACCCGGCGCGCGGTCCTGTCGCGGGAGAGCGGAGAACAGAGCAGTTCCCGGCCGAGCGAGTGAGCGAGCTGGGCCGGGGGAGCCGAGAGGAGGGCGCTAGGGCTGCCGCGGGGCGGGAGGGCTGATGCCGCCGCCCAGGCTGCCGCCACCGGGGCCGCTACCGCTTCTTCTGCCACGTGTCCACCTCCTCCCGCCGCTGCTCCGCGCCCCAGACCCAGCCGCAGCTCGAGCCTGCGCCTCCTCCTCACTTCCTAAAATATGCAACCTGCGTGCAGGCCACGCCCACGCCGTACACGTCACCGTTACCGGAGCAACCTGACACCGGCCTCCGGCCTGGCTCCGCCCCCGCCCGGAGGCGGGCCCGGGGCGCGCGTGCCCCCGCCGCGGGAGAGCGGCCGGGACCCCCTCGGGTCCCCGTGGCCCTGCTCTCCCGCCTCGGCCGACCCGCCCGCTGTGCCCGGCACCGAAGGTCCGCCGCAAGCGCGGTTTGGTCTCACACCCGGGCTCTCCCGGTTGCTGCCTACCGGGCACAGAGGCCTCGCGCCGACAGGCTTCTCCAGCACGTCAGGGCTTCCTCGGGGACCGAGGGACGCGCCTGGGTGGGGAGGGGGCTCGCAGGTGACAGCAGCTGGCGCGCGCTGAGGGGGGAGTCGGGCCCCACGCCCACCTGCGGATGGTCTCCGTCAGCTCTTCAGGCCCACTGGTGCCTGCTGGGACCTGGGGTCCTCTTTCCCACTTCCCACTCCGCTGGGAGAAAGGATCTGAGCAGACCTTGCCAGAGGTCCCAAAGGGAACCCCCTTCCGCCTTCCTTCTAGACGCCAGAATGACAGTCCAGAGGGCGACAGTGAATTCATTCACATCACTGAGTGAATGAAGACTGCCTGTCCATCTGGGCGAGTCTACTTTTAGGGGAGAAAACCCTGAAACCCTATCTCCAGCAGGAGAAGGTGATTCACGGGAGAGACATTTGAAGAGTTATCTGCTCCTCCATGCCTCGCACCCATGCAGAAGCACGTCCCGCAGCGCAGCCCGGGTCCTCACCCTCGCCCCAAACACACTCCACCCCATCCGGCCCGGTGCCACAGGGCTTCCCTCACTATGGCTTCTGCTCCTTAGCAGAGACTGCAGTGGCTGATGGGCTCCAGAGTTTAAAACATAGTATTAACAATCTTGTCAGGGACTCAGGTGCACCGGAAAAGCACAGAATTCACAGGAGAAAGACACTCGGCGTCTCTGAGAATTCTTAGGACAAGCAAGGAAAATATTAACTTCCTAAGCAGGTTAAAGCCGACCCCAACAACTTCAAGTATTAATTCAACATGTACAAATAAGGATATGAAGCATGAAAAAGACCGAAGAGGAATAATTAGCAACTGTGTGATTAGTTACATCTCTAGGATAATTCGCATCTCTGTGGAAAGAAACTGTTGCTTATAGGAATCTCTTTCCTCTTGCCAAAGAATGCATGGTTGAAGGCTCATGTCTTCTCCAGTCATCAGCAGACTTGATTGAATCAGTCCAGGCCACAGAGAGCAGAACTGTAAACAGAAAATTATGACTGCCAGAGGAAGAGCACCCAAATCCAGAACAGACATTTGCTTCAACAGAAGGTTAGAGATTTGTTATCAAAGCTCTAGAAAATGCTTCATTTATATGCCTGACAGATCCCATTATTACTACCCTCTGGGTAGCTTGCTAAAGATCTCTTTGTTTAAGATGAATTATCCCTTGGGCCTTTGTCTGAATGAGAAAAATACAACAGCGACAACAAAATGTAGAAAGCACAAGTCTAAACAATATAGGTTCCTCCTACCAGTTGATCTCTTACCCTTCATAAACAAATTATCATTTGTTCATTCAACAAAATAACCCTGACAAACCAAGGGATTTCCAAATCCTCTAGAGCCCTTGCTTTGGCTGAGGCAGGCTGCTAAAGGAGGACCCCAAACTTCAGCTGTGTTCTAGGGTGGAGAAAGGACAAAAATATCAGAACATTAACTAAACTATATTTTGCATTTGGCTCCACAGGTAGTTTTACGAGTACAAGGTCCTGGAATTTTTACATATCTGCAAGGCAAAGAGTGGGAAGGTGGAGGATTCTTTCATGAGGCCACTCAACAAGAGCTTGAGGGAGGTGGGCCTTAAACTGTAAACTGGGAACCATCTTCCTACTTTTTTTTTGGTACCGGGGATCGAATTCGGGACTTCATGCTGAACTACTGAGGTAAATCCCCGCCCCTGTCTTCCTACTTTTAAGGTTTGGTCTCTGAGATAGGAGCACCTTTCCACAGGAAAGATTGATGGGAAGAATCCCTGCCTGGCTGAAATATGGAGCCCTGGAAATTGCCACAGAACCAAGAAGAAAATAAATCAGGGTCAAACCTGAGGTGCAGGCCTCAGAGGCAAGAGAGACTCCATGAAACATAGGTAATAAAAAATGGAAATGTTCTTCTCTCGAAAAGGGTTCCTTGGGCCAGGGATGTAGCTCAGCAGCACAGCACCTGCCTGGCAAGCGCAAGGCCCTGAGTTCGATTACTGGCACACACACACAAATGCTTCTTTTCTCCTCTTAGCAGAGGTTTCTAAATAAAACTTTAGAAATCAAAGATTGAACATTCTCCTCATTTTATGATGAATAAACTGAGGCTCTGAGAATGATTAACACTGGACATTCTAAGGAGAGCGGCAGGACTTTTAAGTACCTCTTCTAACTCCCAGAACAGTTCAGGGGATGAATATGGATTCTAGAAGAGAAGGAAAGCAATGACTCTCCATTATTTCTTTTCCTGTTAGGTCTTTTTAAGATCCTCGCTTGGGGCACAATTAAACTGCCTGGCCCAGAGACTTAGTATTTACAGACCTCAAGGCTGATCACATTATTGAGTTCCCAAGATCTTTTTCTCCCTTATTCATTTTATTTTCCTCCTTTTCTGTGACACACAGGCAGTGTGCCTCAGTTGCCATTATCATCTCCGTCATCTACCACTTTGCCCTAAACACAGGCTTCCAAATAGCTGGATATGATGAAAAACTGAAATTAAGACATAATTTTAACTCTAGGTCAACATACAATTCCCTAACCCCAAAAGAGTTCAAATTGCGGGGAAGACTCGAGCACTTTATATGGTTTTCCAGTATTTTTGCTAAATAAAACTCCAAATAGACCAAGGACCACTTTACTTCCACTTACCTCAGAGACCAGTGCTTCATGCAGTTCTACTGACTAAAGAAATTTTAAGCCACCTGGCAACCAATCTCACATATAAAGATTGGAATTTTAGAGGATAAAGAAAAAGGAGAGAGAGGCCAAGTTAATAAGTAATTTAGCTTCCGTTGTCCAAATAGCTCAAGTTGAAAGATGTCCCTGTGCCAACAAATCTCAGCTTTGGGTTTTTTGATGAGTCCCTTCCAGCTTGAGGTTTGTCACCTGATGTGGACATGGAAGTAGAGGTGGTGATGGTGGCAGGAGGTGATGGTTGTGGTGGTGAAGGTTCATCAAATCACAGTATCCCAACTAAATGCTTTCTTCAAGCAATAGCATTTTCTTCATCCATAGAAAGATTTTTTTATCTATAAAAATTATATAGTTTAGTAACTATATCATTGTGATGCTCTGAGGAATAATTGATACAATATATATGAAACATTCAAACATTACCTGTTGTACAGTAACTACTCAAAAAGTGTAAGACATTATTTCACTTCCAAGTTCCTACTCAGCCCGGGAGACACAGAGGACAAGAAAGGATGAAGGAATTTTTGGTCTAGAGCAGGAGAGAGTGAGATCAGAATCTGCTTTATGCTGGCCGTCCTCTTCCCCCACCAATCTCTCCTCCAATGCAGAACCTGAGAGCTGAAAGCCAGCCAACTGGGGGCACCAAGGTGGGTGGTAGAGACCAATGAACGTTCCACCTGTCCAAACTGGTCTGGTTATTACCAAATCCCAGGCGAGAACCAGAGAAATAAGCCTACTGAAACATTGCAGCGGTAGCCCTGCGGAGAGGTTTTCATCTTCAGAGTAAGAAGCCTGGAAATTCAGCATCTGCACTGCAGGGGCTGATGCTAACCTGGGGTGGCAGGGAGGAAGCATTGCCTCTGAGTGCAATTTAAAACCTTTTCTCGTTTTCCTTAAAAGGAAAAAAAAAAAGATACCATCTGGTAATGCAATCGTTAATTAGTGAGGGAGAGTTATTCTAGCTTCCTAAGAACAGACCCCAGAGGAGGCTGAGTTTCAGGCCCTTCACTTCTGTTCCAGGAATAAGCAGCCACGCCGGCTGGGCATCGCGCTGGGCTGGAGCTGCAGGGAGCTGGCAGAGGCCAGAGATAGGCTTCCCTCCCATGGCTCTAATCTCATAAACCAGAAGTGCTCAAACTCAATGTATTCTCTTGCCCCTCTCATTTTTCATAACGGAAAAAAAAAAGTCCCAGTAAAGTTTTGAATTAAGAAACAGTTGCCATCTGGGTAATTGAATTCTGCTTGAAGCAGGCCACCTGGTTCACATCAGCAGCTCTCGGCAAGTAGGGAAGTGTCAGCTAAGGCCCTGCGTTGATTTCTAAATACAGGCTGGCATTCCATGAGCCACAAAGAAACTGTCAATTTCAAAACAGTGCAAACCATTTTGTATCAGGTTACCTCAATGTATGCTAGATTTCTTGGGCTGCAGACTTTGAGAATTACAGCAGGAACACTTGCTCTTGTCCATTCCCAGCCCCGCACTGCCTTAAGAAAACAAAATCTGAAAAGCCAGTTCCTTTTGGCTTCCTGTTTGGACATCCATGTCACAGAAATATGTGTGACTTAAATCACCTTGCTCTCCTAAGGATTCAAGAGGCTGAGTGTTTCCAGCTTCTCAAATATTGAAGAGGGGTGGGCAGTTTGAGAGGAAAGTCTAGCCCGACCCTTCTCTGCTGCTTTTGACATTGCTGGCCACTCTTGGGAGGCATGCTAGTGCAGCATGAACCATGTGCAGGATTTGCAGTCCTGTCCCCCAACTTCAGACTCCGCTATGTCAAGAGAACAGCAGCTAGGAGCTTTGCATGCAGCTCACCAGCCAGAGCTGTTTGGGCCAAGTGCATCTTCCATGGACATGTGCAGACAAAGCTGAAGTCAGAATGGCTTGGCTAGGACAAGATACAGCAAGAAACAGTGCTGCCTTGCACTTGAGTGGCTTTGAGCAACTCCTCATGCTTATGAGCCCATTTCTTTCTTTCCTTTTTAAGTATATGTACTGCCGAACTGAGCAGTCTGAGCACATTTCATATATACCTGAAATGTTTATGACAGAATCAACTGTAGTTAGGAGCCCTTATTTGATTTCTGAGTTGGGAGAGGAGCTATGCATTGGATAGAACTCTCACTCACAGGCAGTTTGGGTTTTAAAAGAACACTGAACTTATGGAATGAAGATTCTACACCAGAAATAAGCTGGCCCAACCTCCTCCTTTGGGATGGAATCGAGGCTGGGAGGATACAGGAGCTTTCCCCAAGGTAACAGAGCTGCTGCTTAAGGTCAGCGATGCCCAGCCCATTCCTTTCCAATGCAGCAGGCTGCTTCCTGAGCTTTAGGACAACTAGAAAAGAGTTAATTCTGAAATCAGAAATGTTTTGCTTCTAAACCAAACAGAGAATGAGGGTTATCCAAAACAGGTAATTTAAAAGATCAGTTCCTTTAAAGTAAAATTTTCCGTAATGCCCTGGATATGTACATATATGCCCATCTTAAAAATCCCACTTCACATATTTCTCAAGAAAGCTGTATCTGTGAACACACACACACACACACACACACACCACTGTTTTCAACATCAGAGAATTCAAAGCAACATGATGTTAAAGTAAAATTAAATTAAAAATCATTTGCAAGATTTCCGGGCTCATAGGAAGACTCTTCTCCCTCCAAGAACATAGGTGCCACATCACACGTGCATGGTGGCTCCCCAGGTTACTGGGCGATGCTACTCAGCGCCATGTCATGACTGTGTCATCTGCGACAGGAACCCGGGAGAATGGAAGGAGCTAGAAGGAGAATTCTGAGGGGCAATAACTTGAAGACCTGGATGTAAAACTGGAGCAAGGCTTAGCAGATACTAGGGAGAGAGCGGGGAGTTGGACGTAGTTAAAGGGCCTCATGTTACCAACGTCTAGTCCCAGAAGTCTCTTTTATGCTCCTTCAGCCTCATGATCTCTTTTCTTAATCCAATAAAGGGCATTTGTTTAAATTTGAAAAGATGACATAATATTATTTCATCCACAATATCCTGTCCTCAAGCATTTAAGTTCATGAATTTCCTTCTCAAAACTAATTTCGGTCTAATAGGGCTCTTTCGATATTGGTCTCAAATCACTCATATTCTAAGCCCCTGAAATGTTATTGTCTCTTTACCCTCTTCTTTCTCTCTACACGGACAGTGTCTTAACTGTCCCCATTCCTTCTCCCATTCTTGTTTCTCTCTCTGATGCCATAGCCTTGCCGTGGCCTCGGTGCAGAATAGTCTCAGATCAGAGAGGACTCTGTCTTCCCACACTGGGATCCGTGCTTAGTGTGCAGAAAATCAGATCCTCCTGCTCTGGAATAGAGTATGGGGTGGTGCTGATTCTAGTTCCAGTTGCCTGAGAGAGAGAAGCAGGAAGGAAATGTGAGTCCCAGTACCGGAGAGACAAAGGCTGTTGTCTTAGCAGCACAACTTCGCTTTCAATATAAGTATCAGAGATCCCTTTGGTAACTTCAGTAACTTCATTCATCTTTTTAAAAATGCTCTTCATCCCATATCCCACTGATAACAAAAGGTTGGGTTTTGTGATTTTTTTTCTAGGTGCTGCCCACAGCCTCTATGAACACAAAAACAGGTTTCCTTTGGAGGGATTGGGACATTAGAAATATATAAAGTATCCAACAATACTTGATTCTCATTGTAGTACATTTCTGGAAACCGCATGGAAAGTCCTAAAACTGATCTTACCCGTGGGATCTGTGTTATAATTGGATGTTGCATTTTTGACCGAAGACTTGGCATCAGATAAATCACAGATACTAAATATGTCATAGAGGCAAAGATTCACAGCTTAAATCAGTAGTTCCCAAACCTTGCTCAACATTAGAATTGTCAAAGGAGATTTGGAAAAATGCTGTGGCTGGGGCTCCACTTGGGACCAGTTAAAGCCAGATCTCTATGAGTGTGCCAGTTTTCTTTGTTTGTTTATCGAGAGCTCAAACTATAAGCAAGAGATAGTTGTGATGCGGCACTTCAAAAAACTACAAGAGCCACTTGAAAGTAAATTACAACTTTTTAAAATTTTTCCAAATGCAAATTTAGAGATCCTCCATTTAATGAATAAGTCATCTCACCTGGCAATAAGATACTGGTTTTTGCATACACTGTCCATCAAGTCAGAATTTGAACTAGTGTCCTTAGGGTACAATGTCCTAAGGCGGATGACTGGTGAGTTAATCAGTATTTATCAGGATTCTACAAGTAAAGTCTGTGTTAAGGATTCTTGAGTAGCCTTTGGAACAGAATAGGCATAGTCCTTGTTCTCAAGTGTTTGAGGAGAGAAGAGCATGGTGATTTTGAAGTTAGGTTTCTCCCAATTTAGGGCCACAGAAATGTTGCCCTTTGCAATAACAGCACCTGTGCCTGAAATGATCTCAACTGCATGGATCCAATTATTTGAAAATTGTGATAACTCACAGGCACATCTCAGCACTCTTCCCTTTCTTTGGCAAAAGGTTAGAAAGCTGACCAGGGGAAGAGGAGCCCAGACTCTGGGCTTCCTTGAGGTGCATTCAGTGGAAAGAGAAAAGCAGCCTCCAGGGGACCTCAAGGAGCAGCCCTGAGCATTTCTTCCTAGACACTGTCTAGGTAAGTGGATGGGGTGGGGCTAGCCCTGCTAAGCCAAGGGTGCTTTTTCTTTCAGATTCTGGATCTCTGCCACAAACCATGTGACTATAGGCAGGGCATTTTATGATACTTTAGTATTTTTGTTTTAAGATAAAGCACTAATGTCAATTTCCTACTTATCTTAAAGACACCTTAAAGATAAATTACCTTGTATTGAAAAGATATCTGATCATTTTATAAATTCTTCCTGATTTAAGAGTGACATATTGATTAAATCCACAGATTACAGAGAAATTGTTACAAAACCTAAGGAAGAAAATAAAACTCAAATGTACTTGTAATCCCATATTCATTATTTTAAACATTATGAAACACAAAGGAAGAGCATTCTTCCTGTGTAGTTTTTATCCTGTTTTTCTATATGTAAGGTTATACAATGAACATTTCTGCATATCTTAAAATATCCTTTAAAACACATTTTGTAGCTGCATGATATCCAGTTTTTGACAGTACTATGATTTGTTTATTCCTTATGAGGTATACAATATAAATGTTTAAAATACATGGGAAAATTAATAATCTAACAAATTTTCCTTCAATTATTTTCCAACAGTACATTTGGAGATTTAAAAAATATACAGACATCAGTAGGAAACAATTTCAGGAGCACAGAAAATGAGATTTAAGAAATAATCAAGAGCAATTTTATTTTTAAAAGGTCAATTTGCTTACAAAGGAAAGAGAGAACATGCAATAAATGCCCATAACTTCATTTCCATTGACTTCTGAGTGGTAATTTTATCTTTAACACCCCCTACTGGTTTGCTTTATGGGTTTAGTGTTATCATTTTCTTCTCCTTTTCCATGTCCTTCACCTTCTTCCTCCTACCCCGCCCCCTCCCCTCCCCTCCTCCCCTCCTCTTTCTTCCTTTTTTTAAAAAGGTGATTTCATTAGAAGTCTGCTACCTCTTTATTCTAGCCCGGAAAAAATAAAGCAAGGGGATCAGGTGTAAAGAAAAAAAAACAATTGATTATAAC